AAGTGGTCCGACTCATCATTCTCATACATTATCAAGACGTATGAGATTCTGGAATTCACAGTTGTCTAATCTTGGTAAAGTTATCCCGGTCACTATGCATACGGTGAACGGTGGATCCGGAGTTGGTATCAGTCAGTGCTTAGAACACATGATTGGAGCTGTTAGAACTAAAGTCTTGGAAGTAAGTGATGTTGTACACCATGGATGTCCTTGTATTTTAAGATAAAATGTGTGCTCATCTCTAAAAGAAAAAGTCGAATATATTTCTTGACAAATTTATAGAAATAAATGCTTGGATTTCTGCAACATTTAAATGGACATTTTACATGTTTCCAAAACCATAGATGTGATGATGTTTCCAAAAATTAACTTATTTACTGATCACATGAGAGTGAACAAAAATTATGTGTACAAATCAGGTAGTTTTAGCATTTAGATGCGACATGATAGTAATTTTGATCATAAGTGAATACTGAACTTATGTTATTCTAATCTGTTTGTACACTTAGCTGCAGAGTCATTTTCCAAATAGACCGGTGGTGTTGATTGGATGGTCAGTTGGTGCTCTTGTTGCTTCACATGTAAGTACACACATTTCATAAATGGAGTGAAACAAACATCACTGCTGTAACAAATCTTCAAATTAGCATACTCGTGAGTCAGAGATGTTTTTCCAAGTAGATAAAAAAAAAACTTTAGCAGCCTTGGTTTGTTTTGGGATCTACAACCTGATCATTAATTATTCATAAATGGTAATGTAATCTAAATTGGCAAATAAGCTTTGGATTAACAAACATCTTACGGATAATGCAGAGATCTAGTGCAGTCTTGGTTTGGTTTGTCACAGGGTCTGTGTCTTATTGAAGAAAAAGAAACTTGACAAACATGATGGCGGTCTCCAAAATAAGCATGTACGTGCAGTTCAAAATGGGATTAGTTCAGGTGTAATTTCACATAATGATTTTGCACTAACAATGCAGTATGCAATTATATCAAATGACGCATATCTGAGTGTATACTTTTCAATATTTTCATGAAAACTTTATTATTATATATAATTTTCCCTGTTTCTAGTAATTATTTAATGATATTAACAGTAAATGCCAATGAAAAAAATGTTGCACTGTGCAAACATCAAGTTCATTAATGGTTCCTATTTCCATCACCCGCTAATGATTTCTGCATCTGACAACAAAGGAAAGTGTTTAAATGTGGCGGCAATGATCTACAACACATGGCGGTATAAATAAAAAGCTTTCTGATTGGTTGCCTTTCTCAAAAAAGAAAGGCAAGTCATTGTTTTTCAAAAGTCCATCCTGGTCTTAGAGGACGGGCGGTTGGGAGTCTTTGCAAATAGACATGGAAACAATGATTGTAATTTAGTTAAATTTTGTTTGGGTAATCACCATAAGGTAGTGATGTACAGGATCTAATGACTAGTGCTATTTGATGGTCGTCTGTATGTTAGTTGGTTTCCTTAAACCCTTTGGTTAGAGAATTATTAATTAAATAAAATTTGTCTAATGGAAATTGTGTTGTACAAATACAGCTATGGATTGATAGATACATTACCTGTTTATCAAATTACTTTCTGCAGGTTGCATTGGTAGAATCTGTCAGCTCTGTTGTATGTTTAGGATTTCCATTAATGGGCATTGAGGGCGGTAGAGGGGTAAGTTACCTGAATTGTCTTATCATGTTTGTTCTGTATCATGTTTCTGTATTAATTACTTTTTGCGAGAGACAATTTTTTGAGAATTTTACAAATCAGTGAAAATCACAACATTTTATAGCAGTGAAAATGTTTCTTGAGTCCTCTGATGCGACATGTCAGCAACTTTTATGAAATATTGTCTTTTTGAAAGCTATGCAATCCTGAAGTCATAATTGTGAAAAATAAGGAGCTGAGTCAATACTGTTTTGTGGGTACATAATTACATTGTGTGTTATAGAATATTATAATAATTATGGTCAATGAAAGTACAAAAATGACAAATCCTGGCTAAAACAAAGTAACTAATGAATTATCCACTGGGGGCACTATTCTGATCTACTTGCAGGATGTAGAGGATCCATTACTAGAAGGTAAGACACCAACCTTGTTTGTTATTGGACAAGAATCCAGTGTGTGTAACCAAGATGACATCGAAGACTTGCGGGAAAAAATGAAAGCAGAGTCAAGTTTAGTGCTTGTCGGTGGAGCAGATGAACATTTACGTTTAACAAAAGCTAAGAAGAAACTGGAAGGTGTGACTCAAAGTATGGTTGACCGATGTATACAAGTGCGTATATTTATATTAATTGTCAGCAGGGCTTTGGATCCTATTCTGATTTGTTCTTCTTTTTCTTCCACCATTTAGTTGTGAGCTTTTTAGTCCCCGTTCGGACGCAGTCCGAAAACGGGGACTTATGTTTTGCCCTGTGTGCGTCCGTGCGTCCGTGATCACCTGTATCTCGAACATGCATGGACCGATTAAGTTCAAACTTCACTCATACATCACACATTATATGGGACATATGCACATGCATTTTTTTCATGATCCGATTAACGATAGCCAAATGGGGGCCGCTTTAAGGCCGAAAATGCATTGAAATCGCACATTTTCACCATTCCGGACCCGTATCTCAGTTATGCATGGATGGATTTTGTTCAAATTTGGTACATACATTAAACATAATAGGACCTTGATGCACGTCTGGCGGCCATTTTGTTAAAGAATTCAGTTCTGGATCCGTATCCAAGACATGTCTGGATTGATCAAGTTCAAACTTCACACACACATGGTACATCATGTCACAAATAGATATGTGCATTTGTTTCATGATCTGCTTAACAATAGCGGAATGATGGCCATTTTAAGGCCGAAAATGCATCAAAATCACGTATTTTCACAATTCCAGAACCGGATCTCAGTCATGCATGGATGGATTTTGTTCAGATTTAGCACAATGTGTTGTACATATGCAGGTGCATTTCGGTCATGATCTGCTTTGAATGTATATGTCACTCAAATATGAACGGAACGGGGACGTGTCATTGACAATGACTTGTTGTTTTCATGAACCATCTGACTTTCAAAATTTTGATTTGTTCTGGTTTGGCAGGCATAGTAGATTGAAATTAAACTGCACATGGCTATTTGAAAAATTTGTGAGTGTCTAGGTAATCTGAATTTGTTGTGGCATATACTATACAGCTTATGCGCAATAAATATAACCAATAAAAACTATATATATGGTTATGTAATACTATTGTATAGTGGTTTCATAAATAACTGCATGCTTATGGATAGTACTGCAAGTAACAACCTGTCCCTTGATTTGAAATGGATGCTCTCCACTCAGACATTATCAGGTCATACAATAACTCCCCTCACCTTGGACCCCACTGACACTGCTTGTGACGAGTCTATTGTATGCACTACTTTGAATTGATGTGATATTGATATTTGACTGTAACTTTATTTTCTAGTTTGTTTGTAAATAATTCTGTCGTTGTTAGGTTCAAATTAATTTTTTTGTTTTGTGTCTGACAGGACGAAATTGCAGAGTTTCTGGCTGGCGTTCTTGCAGCTGAAGTAAATGCTCCAGACACACCTGAGTTCGACTCTGATTTGAAAAAAATGAAAAAGAAGAGAAAAGTATCTCGGGATTTATCTGCTGAAATGGGATACCATGGTTTGCAGTCACCTCTGATGAAATCTAAAAGACCTGCTGGTCCCCTCAGTGAGGTAAAGTATTCATTTAATGCTAGTTTCTACTGCTAAAATTGTTACAAGTATCATAAAATAGATCCCCTCCACCTCCCACTCCGTCTACTATCTGAAGGCAAGAGTGTTGTCCCAAAGTGCTGTGATGATTATTTCACAAAACAACACTTTGGTCACTTTCATTCATTATATCGTGTTATTTTGCAGGGTGTGGCGTCTCTTCCATCAACACCAAAGACTGCTAAATCATCGGCCACCAGAGCACCACCAACTGTTGATCCCCACAAGTATCAAACACAACAACCAGTGTTTTCCAAGGAGTATGCTGCCTTTGTGGCAAGCATGAAACAACAGCAACAAGCCGTAAGGGAAGCACGTGAGGCTGCAGCTCAGGCACAGGCTGGAGGTAATCACTAGATGTAGAATAATATTAATAATACGAGTGTCCAGGCTTTGAAATTACAAGGTCAATTATGCTGTAAATTTTTAAATATATATAAATAATTTTTCAGATAATCATAAAGTTTACTGTCATTGTAGGTAAAGCCAAGATGTCTGCCTCAAAGCGTAAAAGAAGTCCAATTGTTAGCACTGGTGGACCAACTGCAGCCAAGCGTAAACCACCTCCAAAGCTACCAGTGAAAACTGCTGAAATTGTAAATACAGCCACTGCTTTGAGTAGTCCAACTAACCAACATTCACCTGTCATTGTACCTGGAGCAGCACAGTTATCAGGATTGCTTCAAGGAGCAGCGGTCGGTGGTCAGATACCGCCTACCTCACTCGCACAGCCTGCAACGACCACGAAGACATTACCCAAACTGCAACAACTTGGAGTAATAAGCACTCAAGCATCTCATAGTAGTATACTACAGGGTTTGAGTTTCAGTCTACAGGGTGGAAACCTACCCGCATCGTTAGCCAGCGTGCTGCAGAATCAGGCTTCATTGAGTGGATTACTGACAACCATAGCAACACAGGGTGAACAGAAAACCACTATTACAGTGCAGGGATCCCTAACTCGTCCATTACCAGCACAGCTTACACAAGTCCCAACTACTGGATTAGCTGCTAGTGCACGCATCGGATCAAGCATAGGAAGTCTCTCAAAACCTGATCCTATCAAACCTGCTATACCAGGATTGGCAACGATTCGAACGACGTCTGCACCGATGCGTACAATAACTCTGACTACAACAACTGGAACAACACAGTCTTCATCCCACATACATCATTTGTTAACAAGCTTCCCAAAATCCCATTCAAGTCCAGCATTAATACAACTACCGACTGCATCTACTATACCAAAAACACTACCAAATCAAGCACGTCCCCAAACTATCAATACAACCAGTACAACATCTGTTACCATAGTAACATCTACTAAAACAACTTCCACATCTACTAAAACAACAACTGCTGGAAGTATTTTGGGATGTGTTTTAAAACAGAGTCCTAAATCTGCGTTCGTAGCGACTCAAAAACCTGATTTGACTCATGTACAGGCGATTCAAAAGCTACAGTTTCATGACTTCCCACTCACCACAGCCTCATTAACCAAAACCAGCTCTGGGGCAATTATAACACAGGCGAAGATCTTGAAACAGCTTGAAATAGCTCAGTTGAAATACATCCATGGAGGCAATGCAAGTAAACTATCTGTTATTAAACCAGCCAATACTGTTGCATCGTGTGTAATGACGACGACTCAAAGCAAGCCTATTAGTAGTACAGTGAGTCAGGGAAGAGTGCATCATACCGTACCATTTACCAGTGCTACCACGTCAGCCACGCAATCAGTTATATCAGGTGTTGGAACTACTAATCTCACTATACAGGGATCTTCAGTCAGAGATAACACAAAACCTGCATCAATAACCGCTTCACAAAAACTAACCGAGCTGAGCATAAGCAAGGCAGATGTGATTAAGCCATCAGCCACCATTACGCTAGCGAGAGCCGAGTTGGCAGCCCAAGCTCTACGCTCCTCTAACTCTAATGTTCAAGTAAGTCGTACTATACCGCCACCAGTCACAATGCCCGTCAGGCTTGTAACGTCAAGCAGCATCATCAAAAAGCAATTAATACAGCAACCTAGAATAATAAGAACAGTGAATGTAGTTGACAAACTTTCTACAGTTTCAAGGACTGCAACCCCTCCTGTCGTTGGAGGAGACCAGCCTGATGGTAAGATACGTCCCATCCTGATTGAGGTCACGAAGCAATCTAGTGTGGTAGACCCAAAGGTATCTACCATCAAGTTAATATCTACTCCTTCATCTTCACCAACTCCAAATATAAAAGTCACTAAGACAATTGTACAAAGCATCGCTTCACCAGTCGTGAAATCTATGTGTAATGCATCCACATTGATTGTAACACCGCAGAGTTCGTCAATGGTTGCAACAATGCCTAGTTCTTCGTTGGTTGTAACAACACCAAGTTCTTCATCAGTTGGGACAATACAACGTTCAAGGTTGGTTGGTACAACGTCAAGTTCTTCGTCAGTTGGGACAACATCAAGTTCTTCGTCAGTTGGGACAACGTTAAGTTCTTCGTTGGTTGGAACAACACAACGTTCAATGTTGGTTGGGACAACGTCAAGTTCTTCGTCCGTTTTGACAACGTCAAGTTCTTCGTCCATTGTGGCAACGTCAAGTTCTTCGTCGGTTGTGACAACACCTGGTTCTTCTTCGGTTATGACAACGTCAAGTTCTTCGGTTGTGACAACACCTGGTTCTTCTTCGGTTGTGACAACACCTGGTTCTTCTTCGGTTATGACAACGTCAAGTTCTTCTTCGATTGGGACAACGTCAAGTTCTTCTTCGATTGGGACAACGTCAAGTTCTTCGTCAGTTGTGACAACACCTGGTTCTTCGACAATGCCAATTTCTTCCTTGGTTGTGACAATGCCAGGTTCTTCGTCAGTTGCCACAACAATGCAAAGTTCTCCCTTTCCAATAACATCAACAACATCTAGTTCACCTACTCTGTCTTTAGCATCTGCTGCGTCGGTTGCCGCAGCGGTTTCATCTGAGCATGCATATGTGAGTACGTCACAGCCTGGAGCCAGCAACAACACTAGTAGAAACCGGACAGCTTCCGGTGGCATTGCTTCAACTAGGACAAGAAGAATAAGAATGCCAAGGCAATATTCAGAATAAACATAAAGACAATGTGTTACTCACGGTTATGTCACTGACGCATTCTTAGTCTTTGGGTTACTGTAAAATACTTTATTTTAGCTAGAATTAATTTTCACTAAAAATTCTTTTGGGGTGATTAGTATGAAGTTTATTTTCACTGTTTTTTGATGAGTTGAATGTAAAATAAAGAAATAAAGGTATGTCCGCTGGATTTTAGTTTCACTGAATTGCCTCTTCAGCAAAAATAAATTCCAAGTGAAAATAAAGTATTTTACTGTAATTAATCACAATGGGCATTACAAAAGTCATTGTAGGGTGTATAAGGGATCCTAAACTATGGAACTCAGTTTCTGTCAAGTCTTGCTGTTATGAGCAGCTTCCAGAAAGTTCTAGTCAAATTGCTTTTCCCATCTGCTTATTGGTTACATCAGCTTATAAGGTGGATATATGCGACTATGAATATTGATTTATGCCACAATTATGATAATAAATTGCATAGATGTGGAGATTTTGTTAATGAGTGTCTTAAGTATTTGAACTAAACAGATTTGGATTTCTACCGAGTTATCTGCATTACCATTAGCTTGGTTTAAAACAACATTTCTTGATTGACCTTGAGTGGTGACAATGTGCTGTGTTGAAAGGTCAATGAACTGTAACAATTATCATAGAATCCTTGCTGTATTTTCCATAACTAACCCCTACATGTATTCTGTCAGCCATTTACAGTTAAGTCTGGGGTCATGAAAGTGTTGATACAACTGTAAGAAAGTTGTAGATTTGATGTTTTATCTATTTTTGTTCTGTTCTATTGTAAAATGCCTCCCTCTATTCCATCTCTGTGTCGTTATGCTTTCTTTTGCGCTTTTACATTTGACGTATTTTACTATGTATCTGTAGTTTTGTTTTTCTAAATATATAACAATTATTTGTTGTTAAAAAAAGTGGTACCTGTATTTTGTAAATATGAATTATTTTCTATATTATGCAGCATTTATGATTGTGTTAATTTAATATTATTAAATTTGAAGCAGTTCTCAATTAAAAGGGCATGATTTTGTCTTAAAATGTTTTCATTAATTATGTTTCTGGTTATCAGACCTAAATTTAGGTTTTGTCAGGATGCTAAAACCAAAAAAGATTTCATGAAAAATGACAATAGGGCTTGTTTAAAAGTTTCCAGTTTACCATTTCCTCTTATGTACACATTGAACCTACCATAAAAACTTATGAGTGACATGTTACCATGACAACAACATTTTTAAACTGGCTAATATGTTTTCATTTGAGCACATGTATAGAATGACAAAATTGTGACAATTTCAGTCAATCTAGAAAATTGTAATATTTTTTAGACTGGTCACTGGTAGCATAGTGGTTGTTGCACTAGACTCATGATCGGTGGACCCAAGTTCAAATCCTACCTTAGGCTGAACATCAAAGGGTCGACCCCCACCCTGGGTGAGTGTGCCACAGACTCAATGGGCAGGCCAATTCCACTGGCCGAGATTCATTTACTAACGAATGCGACTTTGGGGGAACCTTGGTTAAGGTCCGCAGGTGCTTGTGTTCGACCGGGCCTGGTTGACACCAGGATAGTGCATTACAAATTGCCATTTGACAGAGAGATGGCCACACATTCCTGTCATGTAGTCCCAAACATGAATATGACTTCTGTGGCACAATGCACTGTGTCGTAACTAGGACTTGCAATTTGCACATTCGCCTGGCACCAAAAAAAATATTAAAAAAAATTATTTAGCAGCAATCTCTCCTCCCTGTCGTAGTCTGTTAGGAAGCCTACCATTTAGAATTCAAGAGACTAAGCACTTTCATTAATCTCAGGTTCAGTTGGAGAATTTAGTTTAATACATTCAGTAAATTTAGGATCATTGTTTATGGAAAGCATCATATTCTATTACTGTCAATATTTTGAATAAATAATATAAACTGACATGCATGTCGTACGTAGTCTGTCCCATTGACAAATTGTCAATAATATTGGTTGGGACTCCACAATTCCACATCTAGTGCTTCTCTATCAACATGAATGCTCCATTGCAGGATTTTATAAACTGTCTTTGCACTTGTATATACCTAGATCACATGACTGTGTTGAAATTTGAGAACCTCAAACAAAATTGGCAATTGACTCCCTAAAAGTTGATTTTGAAGTCTGGCCTCTGACCAGTATTAGCATACACTTGCTGTCTTTCGATATACCTGTGACTACTTGTATCCCAAACTATATCTTTTGCAGATTTTATGAGAAAAGTAAAATGGAAATGACATCAAAGAATTTGTAATAGGGAAATTTACTGCATTTCAATTAGACTTGGTGCACGAGTGCTTCAGGATAATGCTAAGAAAGACCTGATTAGTTTTGAATTGAAATTAGTAGCATATTAATTACCTAATCTGCATAATCGTCACATTTCAGGGAGGTTACCCCACAGATGTGATTAAATTAATGTTGTGAAGCAAGCTTCTTTATTGACCACTTTTTGTAAAGCAATATTTGATAACTTCAAAAATCTTATTTAAATTGTGGTGCAGGTGCAAACTACAAATGTACAATGAAATTTATTTTCAAATTTGTGCATCTCAAATAGCAGGCCTATTTTAGTTGCAAAGCTGCTTGCTTAAAAGAGTAATCTTAAATTTTTAATTGAAATATTTCTAATTTTTGCTTCATACATGCCTCCATCACACGAGAGTTCTTTCCAATGCGCAGTGCTTTCTTCATGTATAGGACAAATTGTTAATGCCATTTACAGAGCAGTTTCCATTAAAATTATCTATAAATAGATTGCGTTAGTGCTGACGTCAGGTTACCAAGGGAAATATGACGAAGTTGGACCCCTTAATGGACCAATCAGAATGCCGGATCCCTTACTAGTTCCGGCTGCTTGTCACGTGTCCTGGTGCTCCACGACACTCGATACGGAAACCAGCAAAAAGCTACGTGATTGGCTAGAAGTCTGGAAAGCTCACAGGATAGACTTTTAGATACGCTAGTGACATTTGTCCGGCAATGTAGTTTTAACAGTATTTGTTGTTTTTAGAATAAACCTTTTCCGATGCCACAGATATAAAATTTCTTTGGCTTTCCCAAATCGTTTAACTGCATGCAAATCATTTCAGGAGTTTACCCAGCTGGAGTTAGCTTAGCAACATATTCATACTAAGTTGTATTCAAATGTTGAAGTTAGTATCATATTCTTATTACTGTGATCGTATTCGACTGGGAAGAAGTGTCGCCTCCGACTATAGTGCACCTGGTAGATGTCCAGTTAAATAGAAACATATATACAAGGCATAATTTAATACGTTGAAAAAACTGTCACCAAACAAGCTGCTCTCTGATTGGTCAGAATTGGACATGAAGTAAAGTTACATGGCAACAGGGAAAATCCTGCCAACAAGAACGATAAAATAACTTGCTTGGCGCTACGCGATGTTTTATACACCAGTAATGTTGTCAAAAATTGAACCTATTGAATACAATATTTCTCAATAGTATTACTGTACATGCATGGTCCCGTACCTTGACAACAAGCTTTCTCATTGTTTATTATTTGTTTTATTTTGCCGCGTAGAAGTGGATTGCTTATTTTTTATCCGAGAATTATGACACGTAAGGAATCAGAAATTTATGTCGCGCGCAAACCGTATAACACAGGACAAACATTTGTACCCGAGAAGTGGGTGTTTAAATGGCCTGGAAGTTCGTATGGTGTCAATAGCGGAGTTTCGAGTTATAGCGCCCTCAACCCGTCTATTCTCGGGCGGCCCACTCCTGTCCATTTTTCAGGTGAGAATACCTAACGCGTCATACAGTCTGGCCTTTTGGATTTATGTGCGATCGATATTGTGTCAAAAGTAAACCAAACGCGACTTTTTTTTGTGCCACAAATAACACGATATTGACAGAGACGATATTGAATTATGCCCACTTCGCACGGACTAATATGTTATTGAGTGTTATGGACATTACATTATTTCTAGTAGTTAAGTCGTCCCCTATCACTTAGCGTGACCAAACATATGAACTGAATTCTCAAAGGCAAATTACGCCCTCAAGTGACGGAGGCGGGTAATATTTTACAAGATTAGAAATCTTTAGTCGTGATGTGTTTTAAATACTTGTCTTCAAGTTCAACGATGTAACTAGTTTCAAATTGTTATAGTTCTCTTAGCGTGGTACGAATTACAGAATGGTATGCGCGATTTGTTGGTGAAAACATCTAGTTGTATCTCAATTCATCTTTCGGAATAAATAAAGGCAGTCATAGCAATGTTTGAATTCTATAGTTTGCGTTTAATAAGCGGTTTCAAAATTATTTTCACCATTATTAATTATTCGTATCAATAGTAAGCGTATTGGCACTTACTGTTATTATTTCTATGACGTATTGGTTGAGTGTTGTGTTTCCCTGGTTTAATTGACTGTCTATAACAATTGATTCATGCTCACACTCAGACGTAAAGTTGGCAGCGTCGAGCTTCGAGATACTGTGCCATATTGATGATAAACAAATAGTTAATAATTGAGAGACAGGTCTATTTCGTTGCATAGCGATTTCTACCAGGACATGGCAAAGTGGGTGATATGGACGTGTTTGTTTGTGAACCTCCATCAGCCAATTATCAGAGACGTACATTGCTAGTACAGTTTGGTATGCAGTGTTTGGGCCCGAGCTGGCTTTATTGGTTGAGTATTACAGTAGGAATTCACTAATCGGTTTATTGCCGGACAAATCACGATCTTCACGAGTAGACTCTCGACCTTGGATTAGCTCGACGCATCTATTTTCTGAAAATCGCGGAATTGTTTTTATTCAAACGTGTTGCATACTTTCTGTAAGAGTCCCTGTCGCGATGACTGTCGTTATGTCGTAATGTGACAATGCGACACATTTTCGGGACTCAAGACTGCATTAGTTGGTGATTACCATTATTAACAAGTATGGGATACAAGGAGGTATTAAACATCGCGGCAACCGGGAGATGGTTGTGCAATTTTGTTTTGATTTACAGTATTTTATCGTCGTATAATATTGATTCCAGTTGTTTGTGTGAAGCTCACGAATTCGTACTGGGATGGGAGCTGCCTTGGAACTCGACGGAGTCGCCGTCTGGATATCATTGTCTGGGCCAGCGCAGTGCCAGTGCCGTCTACATGGCGATGGACCGGGTATACATCGAAGGTATAATTGGCAACAACACAATGGAGTTCATAATCACGGATAGTAAATGTGACAATTCCGAGGCATTGGGACAAGCTATCGATTTGATTATATACCAAGATGTAGACGCTATGCTGGGACCACCGTGCTCAGGACCATGCAATATTGTATCCACGCTAGCATCGTTTAGTGAGTTGGTAATGACATCCTGGTTTTGTCCAGAAGTCATGGATATTTCAAATAAAACGTTGCATCCGTACACATCGCGACTATTAGACCCCATTCACAAAATGACTCCACTTGCAGTGACTATCATGCAAGAGTTTGGCTGGGAATATGCTACGATAATCACACAGGAAGATACGATATTCCAAGAGATAGCCGATAGAATCGAACACGACTTGAAAATAGCAGGCATGACTATTTCTACGCACAGCTACTCTGAGCTGTACCGCGAACGCGTATTCGAAATTCTGACAGAAGTAAAGGAGACAGCAAGGAGTAAGTTCAACTTTGTTGTTAGATTAGTCAAGTTTTACACCAATATTTCACACCCTCAATCAATTTATTGGTCACTAAACCCACCCGATTCCAACGTTCGTTGCAGTATATTTCTTGTATATCTCTAATAGTTTAACTGAAATGAACCACCCGCCGCACCATCACGTCAAATGTCATGATACTGTCCGCTCTCACGGTGTCGGTGTTAATGTATCGATGATGTAATAGCATGTCAAATTCTCTGTTAGTGGGTCGAGGTTAGGACCTTGCTGTATTCCATGTATGTTTAAAATATAATTCTCTCCATGTATATTTGTTTTCTTGAGTCCCACGTGCGTTCCTGCAAGCGCAAGCAGATCGCGATGTTAACTGGTTTGAAATCGACCCGTGTATTTGTACACTGCCGTCACGAACTACGCTAAGCCTGCGGAAATATGATCAATCTCGCACCTCCAGGGCTTGTATTAAAAACGCTGTGGTTGGGTGAATCGTAAATCACACATTTCTTTTATCAGCAAGGGTTATGAATTCATCATTATAATTACAGATTAAATAAAGATTTGTTCCATCGTCTGATTTCTTTCACTAAAATAACTAGTTTTGTAAAATTGTCTACGAAATTAATGACGCCGTGTCGTAACTCACATGGTTACCGTGAACACAAATGACTAATATACCAACTTGAACTTTCAAAATTACTCTGCAGATGTCCAATGTAACCCTGGCTTAATAGGATTAATAGCTTTCCAGTATCTGCTTGTCAACCTTGGCTGTGAAATATGCTGCGTTGGTACGTAGCCCGAGGCATAGTAACGGGAGCCTACACTCGGAGCCATATCGTTCGGCAGCTTTGTTCAATGCCCCCCCCCCCCCCCCGATTAAGGATTATGTCCGTGAATTGATAACGTAGCGTACAAGCACATAACTCAAATAATCTGATGAGGAGTCGCAACTCAATGGTGATATGCTCCCCAATCTACTTCAAATTTGTAGATCCTAAGGGATGGAGTTGGGCCGTAAAAGGAACGTGTTATTTACAGAAAATACATCGTATTTTCAGATATTAACTGGGCGGGTTACAATAATTATAAAAACATGATATTTCAAGGGTTCACTTTTTTAAATATTTATTAGCAGTTAAGTATTCACTTTTCGCAGTATTTTTAAGTATATTAGGATCAAATTGATGAAGGTATGTAGGTAGAATTGTTGTTCTTGCCGTTCTCGGTGTATGTCAGTAATCTGCGCGTTTATTGGGCGTTACCAAACAATGGAGGAACGCGTCTTTGTGTTGTTTTTACTCAAATGGCAAGTTATCGTTATGCACGATAGAACACAACTGTATGAATATATTTTCTAGAACAAAGGTTAACGAATAATATCAAAAATGGCAAATGTGGGGCTTAACCCGCATAGTTTGCGACACCCAAGTATCTGACGCCGTGGTTGGAACACATCCCATTGCAACATTGCCGTATTCTACTGCAGTGAGTCGATTCTCTAATAATCTGAATACTGGGCAAAGTTGTCGTAATCTTTGTATCATCTATGACCCATTTAAATGGATTATCTTCAATTGACAGTAAACGTAAATAACTGATAAAAGGAGTCGAGAATAAGACTGGCGATTAAATTATAGATCGGTGAAAAAATCACATCATAGCTAAGTTGAAAAGATCGACTGCTTTTACGGTGTATATATACACGGTGTTCTAATCACCCGAATCTATGAACCGATCTTTTATTGGAAACGTTAGTTTTATTGCAGGGTTTAGTCTCCTCACACAACAAATGATTGGGTTGCGAAGACAACTGATCAGTGTCCACCCAACGTCACCATGGTTACTCAGCTGATAGTGTGGCCGTATGGTCTGCAGTGGTTTATCACGATTATTTCGAATATTTAAAATTGTTTTTTAGTCTATGTTCAGACTAGTAATACATTACTAGTCTGAGGTGTTGATTGTACGCACCAAAACTATCAATGCGCATGCGTATACATAATGATGTCATTGTTGGATCGAATGCGTCAGTTGTGTAATCAGTTCTTAACTCATGGTAAATCGTAGTGAGTCCAACCATGGAAGGTACTAACGTTAGTACCTTCCATGGTCCAACATGCAGTTTTAAACAACAACATTAATAAACATTACCGGTTCTCACTCAAACAACATTGTAACCATATAACTGATATCTTCAGCATTGGAATTACAAAAACCAAAAATACTACTCTATTTTTGAATAGACTACATTTCAAGAATTGAATCAATATATTGTATATAGACTGAACATTGTATATTACTGTCGGTCACTTGTGGGAGTCAATGCTGCAATTGTCTTAGTTGATGCGGGCAGTCAATGCTCCAATAAACGGGATTTAACTGACTGCGGCATACGTCATACGTCACTGTGTAAGTATGTGGGGGGGGGGGGTTTACATATTAGTTATTTATCGGTCCCACTCTAACTCACAGGCATATTTGATTAAGTGTACATGGCAGAATTGTGTGTCAACTTCTAATCGAATAAATCTTGTCTTACTTAGTAGACAAATTAAATGACATTCCCCTGTGGCGACTCATTTAATGAACTACTAATTAGTACGACTGCCTTCTAAACAACATGTTTATGGTCATTGCCAACCTCAATTTAAACTGCGTAGACTGACAATTCATACTGTGCATGTCGTTAATGTGCCGCCTGGTTGACCTTTGACCTAAAAAATCACCACTGATCCCAGCAGGGTTCGAGAAAAATCACGTCATCCGCTGTTGTTGCTATGGTCTATACAGGACAATTTATTAAACATACGTCTTCATATAAACATTGTTCTAGTTCATTTCCATCTCATCAAATAACTCAATTTATTTCCTTAAAATTGAACGAAGCATTTTAACAGGAAATTGTAGTTCTACGCCAGTGAGAAGCAACAACCGTAAGTTTTGAAATGTTGATGTTGTTAAAGTACTCGCCATCACTAGATACATTCATTTTTGTGGAGATTTTATCGCATTTTATCGTAACAACACTAAGAAATTAACATATTTTAACCTACGATACCGACATAACGTGGAAGCTTCAAACTTATTTAAACCTCGTAAATTTGAATAATAGATTTGTTGTCATGCTGTCCTAGTTACGTTAATTAGACATTAGTGTAATTATGCTGTATGAGAATAACAGTTCACAGGGCATTAGAAATATTAGTACATCGTCAAATATCAAAGGCTAGCACATTGTAACCGGCGTGGCAACTAAAATTGTACAGACTACTTGTTAATTCATGCTGGCGAGTCAACGCTGCAATAGTTTTAGTTCATCCCAGACAGTCGACGGTGCAGTGGTTTTAGTTCACGTGAGAAGTCGAAGCTCCGATAGTCTTAATTAATGTGGGAAGTCAATGCTCAGTATGTACTTACCTACTACTTAATAAAATATAATTCCGTAAATGAAAATGCCCTTAATATTGACTACTACTTTGGGTTAAACTCTCCACCCCTGAATATCACATGATTCCCCGATGAACAACCTAACTGCTAACTACGTCTTTTAACACAATGTCACGAGCCTTCAGAAGGGCGGGGAAACAACTCTCTAACAATATCATTCAAGTTCTTCACTATCTGTGGCATCTTCTCTAATTATTTTATACTTAAAGTCAATAGAGAATATTTCACTTTGATGGGTATAAAACAGTGCAATTCATCGCCAATGCTAGTAAGTGGGTGAGTTGGGGAATGTTATTATTTTAATTACAAGGCAGGTTTTTTTCTTTCCTTTTTAGTACGTAATCCATAATTTAAAATAACTCATAACCAGTGCTTTGGGCCGGGGGGGGGGGGGGTCCAGCGATCACATTTCTACATAACACATATTTTTTGCCCGGATTCAAAACACAATACAATACAATTTAATAAATAAATAAATAAATAAATAAATAAATAAATAAATAAATAAATAAATAAATAAATAAATAAATAAATAAATAAATAAATAAATAAATAAATAAATAAATAAATAAATAAATAAATAAATAAATAAATAAATAAATAAATAAATAAATAAATAAATAAATAAATAAATAAATGAGTGGGATGGGCTGAAGTAGAGAGCCTTAGCAGAATTGATTATTCAAGGGCTCATTCAGCCACTTTGACATTGTTCATAAATAAATGCATCATTACGAAGATTGTCACCATTATAACAATTTCCCTATTTTCAAAAAGAATGTGATGAACGTGAACTATTATGCGAAAGACCAGATATCATATCAAACTGCTATGAATGCTAAATCTGTCTCTTCTTATGTCAAGGAGTTGCTATAACATAGAGGAGGCAATGTGAGGTTAAATCATTTTCATCAACCAGGTTCTCAACCAATCAGTGAACGGCTACTATAGTATACTAAATGTATTACATTTTAAAGTTGTTTTTATTTAGCATATTACACAAATGTTGAGTTATAATTTGCAACGGTACCACGCGTAATTCCGCACATTATTAACAGAATGTCTAATGTCTAACTTAATCGTAGACAAGATTAAATCTACGCCCGCTGTGGGATTGTAACATGACTGTTTTTAAGCCTCGTGCTCGCATACTGTTTTGACACAGTGTGCTGATGTTGCCATGGTCACGGAGATAACGCCGTGGCCCTAGATGACTCTATTTAACTGGCCAGAGCAAACTTTTCAGGTCACATTAAATGGAACGTTTTGGAACTTGATAGACGGCGCTAAAATATTATACTTATCTGATTATTTTAATTTCATAATTTCACGAGCGCACTCGAAATGTAGTTTACACACGTTATAATTAGCACGAGTCCACGAGTTAACCATGGACATAACACAATTCGCGACAAGAAATATAATCATGGTTATGATTATATTTGTCTCATTTATCACACCAGTTACACCACATGGTATACGGTAATATGACATGATATATGGATCCATACGGTATTCATACGCATTGACCTTTAACCTGTAGCAATAGGA